AGACAACACTGATGTACCGGTAAATGGTTCGAAGTGACACTTTCACCTCCCTTAAATGCCTGTTGTGAATTTTGCCGTGACGCACCTTGTTACTTTTTGCACAGCATCTTGTGCAAAAAGTAATGAAACATTTACATTTCATCTGAAAGCCAAATATCCCTTTTTGTGAGAAATGGATGTATAAAGTATGGCAGGGGGCAAATACTTCTTGCCCCGATTGCTGTGTTCTTTGCATATTGATCACACACAAAGATTTAATATCACAGAGACAACCCAGGGAAATACAAAATGCAGTTTCTAAATGCCAATTTAATTCATTTTAAAGAACACAGAAATCAGGAAGTTCATTTGAATTTTTAACCTGCCATGCATGATGTTGGAATGTGGGAGGAAACTGGAGTATCTGGAGAAAACCCACACAGGCGCGGGGAGAACATGCAAACTCCACTCACGAAGGCCGGAGCTGAAATCGCCCCATCCTATCTATCGATCAATCGTTAGATCGATCAAACAACGAACTACATCTAATCTATCGATAGTAAGAATGTGTATGTGTGTGTGTGTGTGTGTATGTATGTATTATGTGTGTGTATATTATATACACATATATATGTATATATACATACATATATGTATATATATATATGTATGTATATATATATGTGTGTGTATATACACATATATATGTATATATAGTATATATATATGTGTGTATATATAATATATATTGGTGGTCCAGTGGGGGACCCTCAGGGCCAGCAAGGCCTTCTCTGCTGGCCTAAACATTCTTAACATAAATTTATTTTATTTTCATCAATATGTTAACAAAATTATTCTCTGTATTCTTTACATCATATTATTTCCACTTAGTCGAGTGGCTTTCCATGTTATTTAAAATAACATGGAAAGCCACTCGATAAAGTGGAAATAATATGATGTAAAGAATACAGAGAATAATTTTGTTAACATATTATTTCAGCTAGCTTGTGTTGCCAGGTAAATTAAACTTGCGGTGGGGCCTTCAGATTAAACAGAGCAGGCCCCTGTGCGCTGTAAATGAACGGGCACAGTCAGGTTTCAATAGCCAGTATCCTGTATCCTGACTTGTTCTCGTCTGCGTACTAGGGCTAGCTAGAAGGCCTTACGTCGAGATTGGCTGCGCGCGTTCGGTGATTGGATTAGCGCCTTTTCTGTTTCCTGAGAATTGTATCCTGACTTGTTCAATAAAGATTAAAAAAAAAAAAAAAAGATTGGATTAGCGTCTGCTAGAGCTATCACTCGCATTTTAACTCAAAATGGCCGAAGGAGAAGACGTTGATCTGGTTGCAGAACTACTTTCCACACAATTTGCAAGACGGGCCTTCCACGAAAAGCTGGATATTGTGCAATGAGGTCGCCCAACTCCTGCTAGTTAGCCTGTCCCAGCAAGGAAAAGGGTTTGTCCGTCATTTTCAGACGAGCAATTATGAACGGTACCTGTGGCTCACAGCCTCTGAGAAACGCTGCAAATTATACTGCTGGGAATGCCTCTTGCTTGTAACTGACTGGTGCGTTTAAAAATGTTTGGGGACACTCGCGTAGATCTGCAGCTCGGTAAACAGGCACGCGGGGAGACGGCGCTCCACAACGAAAAAGTAAAAAAAAGAATAGGGAAATTAAAATTATACCAGAAACACGACCG